GGAAAGCTTTTTCACCACTTTTTCCGCTTTTTCAAGCAATTATATCATGATCTCAAGAATTTAAGTTGAATCGATTACTTATGGGGATCCAATGCCATATGAGAGCTTGTTATGGGTTTTCAATATAGCCAATATTGACAGGGTGTTTATGCATCGTAAAGTGGTATGGTGGTGCACCCTTCATAAAGATTCTTTGTAAGATAGGAAATGTCATTAAGTTTCATGCTGATCGTATGTCTGGATCTAATTTACTGACGCTGAATTTCTTGTTTTGGTCTAAAGTTAATTCATTGAATTCGAAAGTACTAAAATATCAAAGCCCACGTCAAGAGAATCAAGACAAAGAAAATCCCAAAGGAAATGGGGGATGAGCGACCCAATCAGAAGGTAGACCATTCAATCTGTGGGCCTTGCAAGCCAATCCGCTACTAAGTTAGAATCCTTGAACAATGGTTTAGAGAAAGATGCTTAAACTGGCCCAAGACTCGGCGGGCCTCCATGATAAGAACATTGACTTCCCTAGGGTGATGATCTGCGCTCTTCGCCGAGTTCACTAAAACTGAACGCCGAGTTAAAATGTTATAATACTCAATTTAGGCTAAATAGACATTTTCAATTTGAAAAATGACGCATCAACATATTTAGATTTTAATGGTAAAGATATGTTTCCCTTTGCCGATTGAGCCAGAGATAAATACGACTAAATATCAACCACTGGTTACATTGATTATTTTGGGACCAATCTCATATCATGGTCTTCAAGGAAACAATGGTCCGTTGTTCGTTCCTCCACAGAAGCCAGAGTCTTTTGCAAATCAAGTCTTTTGCCCGTCTGCTTATAATTTGAACATCACACGCTATGAACTTATGCTCTAGATAGTATAGAAAATCAACGCTTACATGACCAAAGTTCCATATATATGCATATTTCCATCCCCATCACATGATCGATCAGGAATCGGCATTTTCATACACTAAACATGGTAATGGGCCTTTCCTCCGCCATCTGATACTGGTTGAAATTATCGTGGTAAAGATTGGTGGGTTGGTGCTGCCAGATTACAGCTGTTTTGCCGGTCTTCTTCTCAGACTCGAAGACTTAGTGCTCGTCGACAAAACCTGCCTCAGTCACTTTTTGCATGTTGAAGTCCATGTGCGCATCGTTCACTCCTGAGTACAATTCATTTACAATTATTAGTTTACGTGCAAATCTGCATACGATCTCGAACAATAAAACTTGCATGTGCAATGCGTCAAAGGATGGATAAGAAGAAATTTAATCTCCTAGCTTTGTCCAGAACATTGACCAAATTGCATAATCTAAGTGTTGGTTGACAAAAAAAAAACTATTTAGCCCAAGTGGGTTAGTGTAGTTGGTAGAGGTAGAGCGGTTGAGTGTTCTGTGTCGGGAAGCAAGAGGTCTTGAGTTCAGACCACTCTGTTGACAGTCTCTGAGGCCATTCTCAATAGTTCAGGACCAATGTGGCTCTGCAGTTACCCGATGAGATTGGAACTAGGGGACTGCAATTACTCAATTGGGGATTAATCGGTTGCCAATCGGTGCCATAAATCCCGACTGCTTTGAAAAGGAAAACAAGATAAAATGTTTGAAGACCCCACAAGATTTTAATGTATAGTTTAAGTGATCCGTCTTAACTTCAACTTGCTTTGGAATAGGAAAACCTTTTTTATCCAGAGTGACGCAGGCCAGAGTTTCTTGCATGTGGTCATCCTTGAAGGAAGATGAAAGGAACTTTACAGGATTGTTCCAGGTCACTTGCTCCATTGACCCAACAAAATATAGAGAGTCACCTACTGTTAGTTGTTTATTCAGATAATTAACATACTTTTATTTGAATGAAAAATGAAGAAATATATGATACTCGATGTTCAATGATTGGTTGGGTGCACAGAAGATGTGGCACTCTGATGCACCTAAAGATATCTCCAAAACCCTAGCGTATTCCTGTTGTCCTAAGATAATCAAGAGTAAAATAGGAATGAATAAGCTTGGGGAAGAGATTTTCAAGTGCATGGGCCTCTCTCACCCCAAAAGCTAGCTCAAAGGGTGAGGCTTTCTCTCACACTTATAAATCAACCCACCAACCATTTCCACAACTGATGTGGGACAACCTCAACAATTTCTCCCTCACACATCGGGCTTGGGTCGGAGACGCAACAATCCGTAATTCTCCTGTGTGACTATTGGGTCCAGCCTTGTTGGCAACCTGAGCTCTAATACCAGTGTTGGGTAGTCTGTCTTGGGCCTCTCTCACCCCAAAAGCTAGCTTAAAGGGTGAGACTTTCCTTTACACTTATAAACTGACCCATCAGCGCTTTTCCACAACTGATGTGGGACAACCTCAACAATGGAGGCTTACCTTCAAGCTTGTTAAGAGCCTTCGTTATATTCTCCTCACCTCCGGTGCAATCCTTGTTCACATGCATTTCTACAATCTGTATCATCAATGAAAAGAAATGTCTTTGGTCATACGTAATTTGAAAGACCCCACGGAGAGCCATTCGAGTAAGCTAAAGAACTAGGTCAAAGAGTCTCTACATTACAAGCTTGAGATATTGATGACAACGGTTGATTAAGAGAGCTTCTCAAGCTGTGTTTGCACAGCATTTTCAAGAGTTTTGGCCCTCCAAAGACCCTTGGGCGAAAGTTTTGGTATTCAGTAAAACAATTTCAAGGGCCTTCGGCTCAAAGGTAAGCTTTGAAAATGCTCGAGTCTCAAGGCAACTTAATATCAGGTTTAGGCTTTTAACATTCCGAAAATGCTACTTCAGAGGTTTAATAAATTGTTTTCCTTTCAATCTTACCCTCACTAATATATTGGTGTACCAATTTTGGTTGACATTTGCCAGGTTCTAGATCCAGCTTGCCAAGGGTCGTGCAGCACCGGCAAGTTTCGCCTAGGCGAGATCTGTTTCACCTTGTGTCGAGTGACCTTGGTGAATCCTTAAATGGGGTCGCGTAACCTCAACAAGCCTTGGTGAGGTCTCGCCTCTAGTTGAAGCTTGTTGAGCTCTAGTTCCCCTGCCACGACGCTTGCTGGCAATAGTAACCCCTACCTTCTATTTTTCTCTCTCTTTCTTCTTTAATTTTAATTTATTGTAAAGTTGCTTTACAAAAATGCACCAAAAGCTGAGTATCAAAATACTAATTGATTTTTTTTTTGAACACCTTTATTCAAAGAACTTTGTCGAACTGCAAAGCAATTTCCCCAAAATTCTCCTAAATGCACTCTTATTAGTCTTTGGTGGTCTTGAGCATTAAGTAAGAACACACATAAAAGAGAAGGAAAAGAAAAAGAGGGTTGGGGTTTTCGACATAAAAAGTTAGTCTTGTATTCAAATTGAAGACATCTTACATAATATTAATAGCTTTATGTAAGTTCGGCTTCTCTTGTAGACACACTCTACAAATACTTCATTATTGGAAAAATTACCAGAAAAGTCCTAAACATTTTGCACTCGTGCTAATTCAGTCCTAAACTTTTTAATTTGGCTAATTTAATCACAAAACCTTTCAATTGTACAAATTTAGGCCTAAGTCTTTTGACGATTTGCCAATTTAGTCATTCTGATCAATTTTGATCAGAAATTGCTGACATGACTGTCTAGTCTACGCTGGTCATTTTATGTGGTACGGCCGACGTTGACGTGGACAATTTTAAAAAAAATAATTTAAAATTTTTTCTGAATTTATCTACTTTTTTTTCCGTTTTTTTTCTAGCCCTCGGTTGGCGAGTGACCTTGCCAGCACGGGATTGGAAAAAAAAGGAAAGAAAAAAGAAAAAAGAAAAGAAGAGAAAAAAAATATTTCAAAATTCAAAAATTTTTTAAAAATTGTCCACATTAGCAATTTTTGGCCAAAATTGGCCAAAAGGATTAAATTGACAAATCGTCAAAATGTTTAGAACTAAATTGGCAATCGGCAAAAAGTTTAGGCCTGAGTTAGCACAAGTGCAATATGTTTAAGATTAAATTGGCCACATTGAAAAGTTTATGACTTAATTGGAACAAGTACAATAGGCTTATGACTTTTTTGGTAATTTTTTCCTTTATTTTTTGGACCTTATGGTCTCTGAGTCTGGAGAAGGGGAACTTGTGCCTTTGTACGCCCTTGGTGTGACTAGAAGACCTCTTTGCATTACTCGATCTCCTTTCATGTTAAAGGGCTTGGTGCAGTGCCTCTCTTTGAATCCTCTCTTATTGCTTGCATTGTTTTTATTGCGGTCGTAATATAACGCTTATTATTGAACTCAGGACTCTGCTTTGATAGCATGTGAAAATTTGTGGGATCACTGCCAACTATTTTAAAAGTTCAAACTATTAGATGAATGCGTGGTTTAATATTTAAATACTCCAACATGCATGTTGATTGGTTGTTTACTTGGATTTCTCTTTACATTTTGCCACCGGGAATCAATCAAAATTCTAACAAACTATAATAAGAGAGATATGGCTAACGGGAAGATCGGAATGGAAAAATTCGATGGGCATTGCGGGGCGTATTGGAAAGATTACTTCATCATCACAAAATTTCAAGCCCACAAATCTAGGTTCATCATGGATCTGCCAAATACATGAAAATCGAAATTTGCATTGTCTATGTTAACGATTCAGTCTTTATGTACAACCTAGCTATACGAGGATTGTCTCTGCTACAATTAAACAAATGAGACCCATCACTGTAGTTGTAGATTAGAATTAGTTAGGATCAATTGTGATTTGTTTCTTTATTTCTCATGTGTTATATATACCGAAGACAAAGGGATATTGTTCATGAATGATTTCCGGTGAAAATTGACTGGAATGATTATATTGGAATTTCACGCAAAGATTGAGGACTAAATTAGCCAAATTTAAAATTTTATGACCAAATTGGCATTTGCACAATAGGTCTATGAATTATTTGGTAATTTTCTCCGAAGATAAACGAAAGCACATCAAGTCTTTTGCCCATCTACTTATAATTTGAACATCACACACACCATGAACTTATGTTCTAGATAGAAATATCAACTCCGTTTACGCAACAGAGGTTCCCCGTTATTAAAAACGTAAGGGGGAACACTAGCTATACATATATACATAGTCTGCAACCCATCACATGATCGAGCAAGAATTGACATTGTCATCACTAAACATGGTGATGGGCCTATCCTCCACCATCTGAGAGTATGGTGGTTGGTGATGATACACTTCGTGACTGGTCTTCCCAAAAATTTTGCCGTGCTTGTAGTGACGGGTCATGCGAGTTGGTCGTGCGTAGAACGAGTTCGACGATGATGAACGGCCGTAGTTCATCTGGTCATACTGATATTGGTCGAAATTGTTGTAGTAAAGATTGGTGGGTTGGTGCTGCCAGATCTGAGCAGTTTTGCCGGTCTTCTTCACGGCCTTGAGGACTTTGCGCTCGTCGACGAAGCCCGCCACGGTCACTTTTTGCATGTCGAAGTCGACGTGCACATCGTGCACTCCTGCGTCACAATTCAAGTACGACCGTTAGTTTACGTGCAAATATATGTGTGATGTCAAGGCGCACGTCAAATAATGGATAAGAAGAAACTTAATTTCCTAGCTTAGTCCAGCATATATGCACATAATTTATGTGTTGGCTGAAAACATGAAGTATTTTAACCCAAGTGGGTTATGCAGTTGGTAAAGCAGTCGAGTCTTCCGTCTCGAGAGGCAAGAGGTCTCAAGCTCGGACCCCTCTGTCACTAGTCTCTTGGGCCTTTCTCGAGTGTCAAGGACCCTTGCGACTCTGCGGTTATCCGGTGTGGTTGGAACTTTGGTCTACAAAACTCGTTGGGGATTAATCGGTTGTCAATTGATGCTGGATATCCCGATTATTAGGAAAAGGAAAAGAAAATATATTATTTGAAGACCCCGCAAGGTATTAGTTCTTAATTTGAAGACCATGTAAGATGGCCGGCGTCTGATGGGCGGTAAGGTTTCTTGCAAAGTGTTCATCCTTGAAGAAAGATGAAAGGAACTTGACAGGATTGTTCCGGGTCACTGACCCCATTGACCCAACAAGATATAGATAGCCACCGATTATAAGTTGTTTATTCAGCTTAATAAAGACATTTTTGTAATACTAGATGTTCCATGATTGGCTGGGTGGACAGAAGATGTGGCACTCTGATGCACCTGAAAATATCTCCTTCAGAAGACGACAACCCTCGCAAGAGATTGAAATAGCAAACGAGTAAGCATGTCGGAGAGATTTTCTAAGTGCCCGGAGACTTGCCTTCGAGCTTGTTAAGAGCTTTCCTTACGTTGTCCTCGCATCCATGGCAATCCATGTTCACATGCATCTCCACAATCTGTAACATGTATGAAAGGAAACGTTTACGTGTTTGGTCATGCGTAATCTAAAGGATACTGCGGAGAGCCATTCTATTTTTTATTTTATCGATTCCACTATTCTCTATTATGTACATGTGTGTGCGGAGATCACAGAAATCGAATCCTGGACCTGGTATTCTCTGGCCCCACCCTCCCAATCTCTTTACCGGCTAGGCCTCGATGCTTATTGGCACGAAGAGCCATTCGAGTAAGCTAAAGAGCTAGGTCCACGAGGCGCTACTTGGAGAGAGAGAGAGAGAGAGAGAGAGAGAGAGAGAGAGAGAGAGAGAGAGAGAGAGAGAGAGAGAGAGAGAGAGAGAGATCTTACCGTCATTTTGGGGGAGTATGGAAGCAAGTCTTGCTTGGAGCTGCTATTGGATTGTTAGATGTAGCATCCTCTTACTTATATAGGAGCTCGAGAGGGCGTGCAAAATTGTCACCAATCTTGGGGAGAAAGTATGGGCAAGGAGAGATGTTGATGGCAAAGGTTGAACCGGAGAATATCTTATTTTATTTAATTTTTTTTCCATTATCATGACGATTCGAATAGACAAACGTTTTTTTGGCTATTTTTTATTTCAACTTGCCTCGAGAAGACCAATCATTACGCAAATGGTCGGCTCGAGGGAAATTGCATCGAGATTACCACGAAAAGAGGAGTCTCCACCCTTAAATTTACAAATTACAAGTAACACATACTTTTCTCTCGTTGACCCCACCGGAGTGGGACTATGTACATTGATATATATACATATATAATTCGATTTGGTGGATGGTGATATGTACACATACGTATGTGTAGAATTTCATATGCCAAGTAGAGGTCCTGGACCTGCGCTTCTGGTCAGTATGATTAAGAACAATCTGATTATTCTCCCACAATTTTCCGATGAGTTCTAAGCTCCAACAACGACATTAGACCATTGAGTTTCCCACAAGAAATGGCCTTGATAGAGAAAGATGGTGCAGTATGCTTGTATAGTTGTAGGTAAGTTGTAACCGCATTTTGCTCTTATTAAGTGTTGTAACTTGTATATTTTGATAATTATTTTAAGATTGCGATTTGTTAAAAACTGGGTGAGACAATTTCCTAAAAGCTATAGTAGGTTTGGAAATGCTACAAATATGGGGTGTTTGCCCGATAGCGTATAGAAGCCGCAAATCCCTTTTCGTAGTAGAAACTGATGCAGGAAAACTATATTGAATAACATCCTAGTCTAGTAATCGCATACAAGCTCATAACTAAGAGGTAAGCAACCGGCAACTGGCCAGGCATTAAACAACGTATGCAATCCTTCCATGTAATAACTCAACACCAAAAACCATCTTCATTTTCGGTCCTTGCAATGACAACAAAAATATTTGTAAGATGTATCACCTCTCATAAGTTTTCTAATCTTTCAATTTCATTAGGTGATGCTGATGACATACAAACTTCTTTAACTTTCTGTATTTTGGGTACGGGAGAACAAGCTACCATCTATGGACAGCTAACCACATTATGTACAATTATTCAAGATATAATCTTTTGATTATTAAACTAATATTTCTTCCTTAGCAAACGACTGCTTGAAAATGAATCCATACATCATCAATCCACCTGAAGCTGACGCGTTGGAAAATGATCTTCTATGCAAGCGTTGGGTAATTTCCGGGAAAGCGATTCCATCTCTCTCTCTCTCTCTCTCTCTCTCTCTCCCGCGACTGCTTAACCCGGCAATTTGTCAAATTTGCATTTAGTGTAGTCATAGAAGATTCAAATGAAACGGCCAAAAGGGTACAAAACCTTAGGGGGCAAGGTTATATATCTTTTCGTTGAATTTGATGATTGTTGGCGTAAGGAAATGTAGGTTGATCACGACAAGAAGTCAATGGTTACCATACACACCAGAATTCAATTGAGAATGATATAAACCGGTTTTAGACAAGTTTGCAAAAACCAACTCCTGAAGTAATATGCAGGATTCGTATACATCGGTTTTCAATATGAGTCATCCGTTTTATTACCCGCCTACAAATTGTTACATACTTCATAAATAAATTTTGTAGATCAATCTCGATACAACCAACGCTACTCCATCAAGAGGCAACATGGCTTTAGCTTGTTGGCACGAGATTCTCGATTTTACGTAGAAATTGATGTGCGGCAACTAGCCATATTTCAACACGTTATAAGAATTTATTAGGAAATATCTAATAAGTTTGGTATCTCTGAGGGTATGGTTTTGAGATGGGCTATATTGGTTGAATCTGTTGGGCTTGTACTTATTAAATGGGTAAGATCCACTTGTGTAGTTTTCGGCCCATGGTTTTGTGTGTGTCTATATATAATTCCAATAAAAATACATCAATTTTACATTGAGTGACAATTCTGCCCAAACTTGTTTTTTGTCTCAATAAAATATACCAACTTTTACACAAGTCTCAAATTTGGCTCTCGTGATGTGAAATTTTCGAATTGTTTGATCAGATTTGGGATTTAAGTGAAAGTTGTTTGTCACTCAACGTAAAATTGTGTTTTATTTTAAATTAGGCTTATATATATCTTTGTCTATATATTTAAGTCAAAACTAAACCACCGTTTATCTCACTATTTACTTTCTAGAATTACCCTTGATATATAATTGTTATTCATTAAGTATCCACCCAATTTCTTTTTTTACGTGAAGAATCGTCATTTCGTCTCATTTTTTCACTAGTATCAATATGATCAAGAACACTATCATCATTATACTGATAAATTTAGCAAATAGAGCTAACAAGAGGATCTCAAAAGTACTTTGCACGCGCGTAGTTTGTCCGTTAGAACTTGTCCATATTAATGGAGTTTCACATTAGTCTTGGGTGGTCGAACATTAAGTGAGAACATACATAAGAGAGAGAAGAAATAAAAGATGAAGTACATTTCACCTAGGCATTTGTCTATTGGTTATTTATTTCGATTTCTCATTAAATTTTGCTACTACGAATTAGTCAAAATTGTAACAAACTACGGTAGGAACCCTCACCAAGTTTTAGGTGACGGCGTCGTGGCAAGGGGCTCGGCGAGGGCCACGACGCCCTCTCCAGGGCCTGCCTGCTGGAAATCAATGAAGGTAAATAAAAAAAGAAAAGAAAAGAAAGGAAAAGAAAAGGGAAAAAGGAAAAGAAGAAAAAAAATTGCGAAAATCATGCACTTAAGTACTGGCCACGCCACGTAGGATAGTCGATGTCCACATTAGTGATTTCTAGCCAAAATTGGCTGGAAGAGTTATATTGGCAAATCTTCAAAATGTTTAAAATAAAATTGACTATATTGAAATGTTTAGAATTGAATTGACATTCATATAATAAATTTAAGGCTTTTTGGTAACTTTCCCAATCTAGTATCATTGGTGAATCTTCCAAATGAATGAAATGGATATTTGCATTGTATGTGTTAACGATTCAATCTTTATGTACAACCTAGCTATACCAGGATCGTCTTGCTACAATCATCGAGCGACACCTATCAATCTAGATCAATAGTGATTAGGGGTGAGCATGGTTCCAAGGTAGAAATCTGTACTTCCCGGTTCAGTTCTCGTTCCCAGGGGAACCGTACCAGGAACCGAGCATGCATGTGCTATTATCTCGCAGTTTGGACTTCTGTTTTCCATTCGCTGAACCACTCTCAGCAGATCACATTTGCTTGTTGCTTCTTGGTCTTCCCTTATTGAGCAGAGAAAGTCGAGATAGTAAGGTAAGTTATGCAATTGAAGCATGCTGAAGTAGAGGAGGTTTGCACGATGGATGCCGTCAAATCTCGAGAGGTAGCAATTTCAAGGTTCATTCTTGTTGCTTTTTGGTCCACCAGATGAACATTCATTTAATGCACGACTCTATATCTTTTTCAATTAATTGAAGAGAAATTTTATGTGATATCCTTTTTGTTGCAAGCTCTTCTTACGGATTTGAGGGATAACTTCTCTTTGAAATAGAAAAAGAAGAAGAAGAAGAGAAATTGGCTGGTTCCTGAGTAGACCCTCTAACTGACCCTAGAACTTGTGACATGATAGGTTTCAAGTCGGTTTTAGGTTCCAAAAATGAGAAACTAGTCAAACGGATACGTTTCAGGTTCCTAAAGCCTAGAACTACTCATCCCTAATTGTGACTGGTTTTTTTGTTTTTTATTTTTGTTTCTTATGTATCATATGTACTGAAGATAAACGAAAGAAAATCAATTCTTTTGCCCATCTGCTAATTATTTGATCATCACACACCATTAACTCATGCTAACTAGTATAAAAATCAATGTTTACACAACAAAGATCTCTCCTTACAAAAAAAAGACGTAAGGGAGAATACTAGCTATATATATACCTATGAATTTTTTGTTTTTTTGCATCCCCATCACAAGATCGAGCAAGAACTGACCGTGTCATCACTAAACATGATATTGGGTCTTTCCTCCACCTTCTGATAGTCTGGTGGTTAATAATACACTTTGTAATTAATTTATCAACTAGTTTTTTGGCTTACGAAGTCTTGTTTAAGCAATCACTAGGGTTTGTCCCAGTGGCTACTCTTCCTACTCGGAAAGGGGGAGGTGGGGAGTTCGATTCCCCACCTTCTTATGGGGGTTAGGAGCGGGGACGTTTAGTTTCAGATATGGGTTTTGACTCCCACGCTCTGTAAAGAGGTAGGGCAAAAGTCTGAGACTGAGTTGAGAGTTAGAGTATGATAGACCTAAAAAAAGAGTCATGTCTAAGTTCTGTAGTAAGTTCATTTGTTCTTTTAAAGGATAAATGCACTGAAAGTCTCAAACTTGTCATGAAAATGCAATTGAGTCCTCAACTTTTCAAACGGTGCAATCAAGTCTTAAAACTTGCCACGAAAGTGCAATTGAGTCACAAAATTTTCAAAAAGTGCAAACAAATCCTAAAACTTGTCAGATTAAAAAAAAAGTGAAAGAAACATCAGTAAATAACTCAAATCAGAGTTGCTTATTCAAATTTTACGTGCTTATATAGTGGGAGAGAACTAATTTAGGTTGGTAATCTCTCAAGGAATTAGTAAATATAAGGGATTGCAAATCAAGACAAGCAAAAGTTGATAATTTAGTAGGAAAGTTGATAAAACATTAAATAAACCAAATAAACGTCAGTGAATATCTCAAATTTGAGTTGGTGATAGAAAAATAATTCGTAGTTTAATCTAATAGAAGTTGGTTAATCACTCTAGTTTATGTTGGTTTTTATATAAGAATTGATAAATTTGAACAATAGTTTCAGTTATGTAAGTAAAAGTAGGCAAATTAGTGCAAAAATTATTAATTTGCAAATTATAAAAGAAGGTAGTTTCATAGAAGTATTGGTAATTTACCAATAATTTACATGGAAAAAGGTTACCGATTAATTTTTTTACCAACAGTCTTTTGACACTTACAAAATTTACCTTCGTGAAAAAAAAAAAAGAAGCTATGTTTGAGTACGGAACAAGCTGAAACTTAAAATCATGTGAGCTCCTTGTCATCGTCACGTCATCTCCCTCTAGATATCTCCTCAATACGAGAGAGAGAGAGCCAAGAACAAAGAGAAACTCCAAATTTATGACTTGTAAATGAGACGAACAAGGACTGAAAAATCTACGTGACATATATATATAGTCTCAAAATCGTAGATAACTCTGAAACACCCGAAGCAAGATATAAAATTTCAAAATAATTAGATAAAGAATTATGGGGCAAAACCAAAGCTCTAAATTGGGTCAAACTTAGGAAAGTGCCTGAAAACTATGAAAAAAGTGGGTTTTTAAGATTGAACATCCTAGATGGAGATGCAATATGATGTTATTCATGAGTAAAAGTAACTCCCAAATGATCATCGCCTTACTCAGAGTGCACATTTCAGAGGTTTGGATCACGTGAAATAGATGCGGCGTTATCGAAAATGAGCCCAAAAACCATTGTGCATCAATGTTGCCTTTCCGATCTAAAGTTATGTTCCAATAAAATCATAATACACGAATTCTTGCTTCAAGGACGTCTGGTCAAATGCCTATTAACCTGCTCCTAAAACTCTTCTGCAATTGTATCCATGGAAAAGGGAGACAGATAGAGGGGTCGCATAGTTAGGGTTGATTTTTGTCAGTGCGATTAGTTGCAAATCGATAGTGAAAGATCTCTTTCGGGTCACATGTAGGAACACCCAACTCTTTGCAAACACACGGTGATGGATCTTCATTTGGTACGTTGGTTGGCAGTGTAGAAACTGCACACATATGCAGTATTCAATTTTAGGAAAAACGTTCATTTCATTAGTGAGTAAAAGTTTCATCAATAAAATACTTTAGACATCATTGGTGCATGAATAAATATGTCTAAAGATGCTTGATTCTTCCGCTCTCCTTATTTTTCTTTGTTTGCACGTTATATTTACCTAAGCAAAGATGCCAGTTTATTGAAGTGAACAAGAGGCCGCTTAATTAAAGCAAAACTTAGGCCTTGGTGGTGAATCCAAAGCACACTCCTTTGATTTTTCCACCATATTCGTCCCAGACGCAAACTCAACTCCAATATAAATCCCATCCCATCCAGTTGAACCATCCATAAATCTCTCATTCCTTCACATTCAACACTCAAAAAAATTCAGATTCCAACCCTTCAGAATCCATCCATGGCAGAGAAAGAAGGAGGAATCGTCAAGAAAGGCCACGAGGAAGGCATGAAGATGGCAGCCTCGATCCTCGCCGAGTTCGAGCTCCCACTCGGCCTCCTCCCCCTTGCCGAAGTTGTTGAGGTCGGGTTTGTGCGCAGCACGGGGTACATGTGGATTGTGCAGAAGAAGAAGGTGGAGCACACGTTCAAGATGGTGAGCAAGCTCGTGAGCTATGACTCCGACATCACTGGCTACGTCGAAAAGAAGAGGATCAAGAAGCTCAAGGGTGTCAAGGCGAAGGAGCTCATGTTGTGGCCCCCCGTGAGTGAGATCATCGTTGACGACCCACCAACCGGGAAAATCCACTTCAAGAGCCTCGCTGGGATCACGAAGACCTTCCCGGTCGAGGCATTCGCTGCTGGGCAATGAAGGGATAGGTTCGAGTTTCGAGCACCGAGTTGCGTTATACGACTCATTATTATATATGAAGAAAGAGCAAAGCATGAGCCCCTGGGAGGCGATATATTTCCTATAACTGTTTCAAGTTTGGTTTCTGTTATGTTCTGCCTATTTTTCTTATCAAGGATTTTGATTTGCGTTCGTAACGACTTTGGTTAATGCACGTTCTTATTTTATTTATATTTTTTTTTTTGGTAACCGAGGATCCGCCATCATTCCCCGGGGACGAGCCGGCACAGGTAATCGGGGCGCCTATACCTCGAGGGAGACTAGTCCAGCAACCCACCGCCGGGGCCCCCCACTTATTTCGATAACACAGTATGCACGTTCTTATTTCGTATAATTAGATTCGAAGAAACGTTAATGCTGCTACTTATGTCTATGTATCTGTTCCTGAGGATGGTGTCTATGTTCTTATCAACGACCTTAATGCTGGTTTTGTCTAGGAATATGATCTGTGAGGCAGGGGACTGATAACGTTATGCTGAACTCTATCTAATTATAATGCATACTGTGTTATCGAAAAAGTCTTGTGTTCTAGTCCATGTTTCGTGGGGAGCTAAGGCTTTCTTTCGACAAATACATTTCTTATCTTAATATTAATTTTTTTTTCAAGTTGGTGAAAGCAATAAGCGGTAGTAAGTGTCAAACAAATGTTGGTAAAAAAAATAATCGGTGACTTTTTTTGGGTAACTTATTGGTTACTTATCAATACTTTGTGGAATTGCCAATGACTTTGATTTGCATAATTTATTAAGACTTCAAATTTACTACCTCTTATATGGAATCATCAAACTAAATAAGCGTTACTTATCAACTTTTGTCAAATGAAATTACTCACTAGTCTTGGGTTAGCATATTTTATTTAAATTACTTACCCACTTTTAATTATTTTTATTCAATCTACTAACTAGTCTATGGAGTTACCAACTTTTATTGTCTTGGTCACTCCTTACTTCTATACTAACTCTTTCCAGAGATTACCAACATTAATTAGTGTGAGTTATCAATATTTCTCCCATTAAATTAGAGGTTACCAATTCTCTTTTAAGTAACTAACCAACGGCAATCTGGTTCTTTTTTAATTTGCCAACTTTTTCTTTTTGACAATATTATACTTACATCTCCTAACAATGCTTTAAATTTACCAACTCTTTTTTTGAAATTACCAACATTAATTGGAGTAATTTACCAACTTTTCTACAAATAAATACTAGTGTTGGATTACCTATTGTCATTTGAGTTAATTATTAAGTTCTTTGGTCTTGTAATTACCAAAATTTTAAATCTTTTAACAACTCTTATTTATCTTTCTCGACTAATACTCTTATACAAATTTACTAACTTTAATCTAGATGATTTATTAACATTTCTCCAATTAGGTTATCAATTGGTTTTGTGGTACTAACTCTTATTTGATTTAATCGCCAAATTTTTTTCTTTTTTAATTTACCAATATTTTTCTCAATAGAATAGTTCATAAGTCATTTATATAAATGTTGATAATTTCATATAATTTGTAGTAATATGAAAGCGTTAATAAGAAAGCTAAATAAGAGTTGGTAAACCATAAATTTTTTTTTATCAAATATTAGAAAATTTTGTAATTTACAAGTAAAAAACCCAAATGAACGTGTGGTAACTAACTGAAATTAAAATTCATAATGCAAAATTAGTTGATAACTCAGCCGTGATAAATGTTTGGTGATTTAAGCTATCGAAATAAAAGTTGTAACTCAATAAAATAGTTGGTAAATTTAAAAAAAAAACAAGTAAGCATTAGTAATAACTTAAACAAGAGTTGGTAGCCCCAAGCATATTGGTGAAAACTTGGTTAATCACACAAAAACTGTAAAAGAAAAAAACTTAATATTATAGTTGGCAAATTTAAGGCTTTGGTAAGAAAAGTATTATCAAAATGCTAGAAATATTGTTGTTAGAGATGAGGGAAGTTCGAAATAAATGTTGGTAACTAAGTCAAATAAGAGTTGGAAACACAAAACTAGTTAGTAACTCAAATGGAGATACATCGGTTACTCTAACAGAAGTTGGTAATCTCCAAAAAGAGTTTATAAATATGAAAATGGTAAGTAAGGTGAATAAAAGTGTTAACTCAGTAGAAAATAAGATAAATTTATGAAAAAAACAAATAAATGTTAGTAAGCGACTCAAATGAAAGTTGGTAATACAAAACTAGTTGGTAATTCAATCGAGACATAAATGAAAGTTAGTAATTTCATATAATAGTTGGTTGATTTAAGCTGCTAGTAAGAAAGTTAATGAAAAGTTTGTAAAGGATAAGAGAACTTTTTTCAAAGAATCGTTGCAAAGAATCAGATGAAAGTTGGTAACCCAAAAGTAGTTGGTAACTTAATAGGAAAAAAATGAGTAAGGTACACATGTAGAGGTTGCAAAACATAGGTCTATAAAAGATATGAGAAGTTCATCTGACAAAAGGTATATTTAAAAATACCAAATCAACATTGGCAGCTCCCTCAAATAAGTCAGTGAGGCAAAACTAGTTGGTAACTTAATCGGAATCACTCTAACTATGCATGATAAATTCTTAAAGGAGCTAGTAATTTCATATTATTCATAAGCCGAGCAAATAAGAGTTCATAAAAAATATCAAAGTTGGTGAGTATAAATGGTTGGTAAGTAACTCAAAGGAAAGTTGCTAACCTATAGGTAAATTAATAATACAAAATTTAGTAAGTTTCTAAAATAGGTCATTAGTTTTTGTGAAGAGTTGGTAATATATTAAAGACGTTGGTAAGTAAGGCGAATGAAAATTGGTGACTTACGAGAAAAGTCGATAATAATTGGTGAATAGCCACCTGGCGACCTTCATCGGCTACAATTGGAAAAAAAAAAAGAAAAGAAGAAGCAAAAGCAATTTCCGGCCAAAATTCATAAGATTAACTATATTGGCAAATCGTCAAAAGATTTAAAACTAAATTGGCTGAATTGTGATTGAATTTGCATTTGTACAATAGGGCTGAGACTTTTTTGGCAGCTGGCAACCCTCACTGACCATCACTGAGGCCTTGGCGACACCTCACCAGCCACAATAACAAAAAACAAAGAAAAAATTTATAAAAAGTTCAAAGTAATTTTTAAAAAATTGCAAAAATTATCCATGTTAGCGATAACCGTACTGCGTATGACAACTAGTATCCACTTCAGCTATTTCCGACCAAAATTGGTTGGAAGGACTGTATTGGCAAATTGTCGAAAGGTTTAGGATTAAATGGGCCAAATTGAAAGGTTTATGATTGATTTGATATCTGTACAATTGGTTTATAACTCTTTAGATAATATTTCCCACCTAAAAGAATAAGGGAGTGAGTGATGTTGTGTGCAATTCACTAGGAAAATTAGATAACTACACAAAAGCTACATTTGTTTTTTGCATAAGGCAAAGTTTTTTTTAATAGTAATCAGGTAATATCTGGGCTAGTTTTCGTACATCATGACTATTATATGTCCCTAAACATTTTCGGGGGCGCATTCTCCCATATCGACTTGATACATTCAAAATTTATTCTTGGAATGTCTCTACTAAGATTTGAATCCAAGATCACAAGAAGAGGGGCAAACATAACGCAAAGCTATTTAACAATGTTGAGGAAAACTCCTATTGATTTTGAAGATGACAAAACCTTCTATGTTATTGTGAATCTGATACTTATTCTGAACAATTTTATTCCAGGTCTGTATATTCTGGAAGCTCAGAAGAAAGTTATTCAGACTTCACAAACTGTCAAGTATGTTTTTGAAGACCCACATAATCGAAGTTCTGAGATTCAGACGCAGAAGTTATTCAAATGCAGAAGCAGAAGTTATTCAGATGCAGATGCAAACGAAGAAATTATTCAGACGCAGAAATTCTTCAGAGGCAGATGCAGAAGTTCTTCTGATACAGACGCAGAATTTCTTCAGACGCAGAATTCAGAACATAACACAACAGCTAGTGATCTAGCATGGATTTCACAGAAGGAATGTTCTGATTGTCTCAATCTAAATCAAAATGATTGACAATCAAACATCACGACAAGAATGCATTACAACGGACAAAGCTCTACTTATGGAAACCAAGATTCTGATTGTATGGGCGATCAGAATCAGCGGGATTCAGAATCTGTTATCCAACGGCTACTCAATCCTTTCTATACAAATATGTCCAAGGTGAAGATTGGAAGATGATCCTCTGAATGCTGTCCAACGGCTAGTTTTGGAAGTAGAGGAGTATTTAAGGAGATCAATGAGCAGCAGAAGGTAGAACAGAATCAAGAATCAACAAGTCCAAAGTCTGAGCATACTCCAATTATTTCTCTTGTCGTTCTGAAGCAAAACATTAAGATCTTGAGGGACACTTTGTAAGAGTGATTGTGTGAGATAGAGAGTTCTATCATACACAAGAGTGTTAACACTCAGAAGTTGTAATTCCTCTTGATTACATAGTGAAATCCAGCCGGTAGGCTGTAAGCGTGGGAGAGTGGACGTAGGCTTGCTATAAGCCGAACCACTATAAACTTGTGTGCAGATTATCTATCTCTTATCTCTTGCTTTACATTCTGCACATCAAGAGCACCGTCTTTACAATCTGTCTTGAATCTGAATTTTATTCAGACTCTTCTGTGATTTATTTTGTTTCCGCATAAATCATCAAAAATTGTTTTAGATCACCTATTCACCCCCCTCTAGGTGATCCTTGCTAGCTACATCAATTGGTATCAGAGCTTGGTTGCTCATTTATTAAAGTGTCTTACTTCTGAGCTAACGATCTATATGGCTAGCTATGGTGCTCCAGGGCTCATTGAAGGACAGAGCAACAACAGACCATCATATTTCGATGGCAAGGAATATAGTGTCTGGAAGAATAAAATGAAGGCATTCATAAAGTCAATTGATCACATGCAATGGGATGTCATCATCAGAGGAGTCAATCCAAGATCTTCTGATTCAAAAGAAAAGGCAGAAGCAAGCATAGCAACAGATCCTCCATTATCTCAAACTGAGATATCCAAAAGAGAAACCTTAGATTCCAAAGCAATTTATTCTCTCTATTGTGCTTTATCTCCTATTGAATATAAAAAAATTGCTGCTTGTGAATCAGCTAAGGAAATCTGGGATACTCTCCTTG